TTTGCTACTTAACTAATTAATAACTTGGTAGCACAGCAATGAAACAAAAGTATTGGGATTTAAAGATATTTTACACTCTTGAATTATAGTTTCATATTTATGAATGTAAATATAACTTTTCAATTAATTACTTTTTTTCACTATTGTTTGTGAGATAGGGTCTTATGTACCCCTGGTTGGCCTCAAATATATTATGTAGCAAAAGAAGATTTTAAGAAGATCACCAGAAGATCTTCTGGTGCCTCTTATCTGTAACTCTGAAGACTAGAATCACAAGTGTCCATCACAGGCAGCATATTTACACTTCTTAAACACTAAGTTAGATCTGTAAGTAATCAAAATAGGAATCTCAGACCTCTGCTTCCTATAAAGACACCACCAGACCAGACATGCCCAGAGGCATATGGTCCAAGTGTTTAGAGATCCCATCCAGTTGACAACCAAAGTTAACTACCATACTTGGAGACCCCCAAGAACTGGCAAACCCTTGGTAAATAAGTTTTCTGTGCACTAAGAGAAGATTCAGATTACATTTGTAAAACACAAAACACATAGACATGTTAAAATAATTAAGTGACATTGCATTTAAAATGGAATATCAGAAACAAAATCGTACCAAAGTGTGTCCTTTAGTGTCTTTTGAAGCATTTACCATGATTGAACATCGTCATTTGATTATTAGTTTATACAAAAACAAACTGACATTCACTGGGTTCTATAGATTTTAAAAGAAAGGAGATATTCTGGGATGTATCTGAGTGTTCACGTTTTTACTTTTATTTCAATCTGAAGTACACCATCATTCTTTACTCTAGGAACCTGTTTTATGGCTTCAAGATGCCCAGTAAAGTCAGCAGCCATTGAAGAGGTTCAGAGGCCTAACGGTGATTTAAACAGGAACTATAACTTACTTCCAGTCTACCTATGGAGGTGAAATAACAGAAACAAGTAATAACAATGATGGTATATATAACCAGCGATGGAGGTGAGTGCCTATAGAGTGACTAAGAAGAAGAGAGGTGAGGCTACCATCTTCCAGAAATGGTGAAAGAAGGCATGGAGCATACTCTGTAAGGCCATTCCAGGAGAAAATGGTCAAACAAAAGTTAGTGTCTAATGAGTCACAAGGAGACAAGCAGCTGCTGGTGTCCAGATAGCCACTTGCTCATGTGAGCCACCCCTGAGGCTAGAGCAGAGAGAAATACAAGAAATCCTATACTAGAGTTAATGGTTCCTGTAAGCGGTAGTCAGGGGACTAGCTAGAAAGTACAGGAAGGACTATGTCTGAGCAGCAGGTGACTGTCCACAGACATCTAGGAAGAGGGCTCAGTTTCATAAAATCCACTCTGATCCTGTTCTCAGATCTGCTGGGACCTGGGATTCCAAAAGACTAGCATGGAGCAATGTGGAAATTTCCTGTCTCTGTTCAGAAGCACAACTGTGGAACTGAATTAGATGGTACGTTTGCATCGAACTTCATGTTTATTTTAAATTCCCCAATCACAGGTAGGAACAAACCTTTAACTAGTCAGCTCTTCTTTGGACTGTATCACACACACACACACACACACACACACATACACACACACACACACACACACACACACACACACACACACACAAAGTTTCAGAAGGCTGTGATTATCTGGTAGACCTCACAGTTCCATCACTTAGAAGATGTCAAGCTCCTCGTTGCAGTTGGGATAGAATGGGGGCGGTGTAACGGTTGGATAATATGAAGGAAAGCATTTCTGGTGGAGACAGATGGAGCCTAAAGCAGGTTGTGGGAAAATTTTTGAAATTTTTTACAGAAATCCTTACATATCAGTGAATGAATAAATGGAGATTAATATCAAGAGCTTAGATGGAAAGTTTATCATACTGCTGATATTATGATTATTGACAACGGCTCTCAGGAGGGGTGCAGAACTCATTTTGGGGAACACAGAGAACTGTCTAATGCACTGGTATACAGGGAGGGTCTTGCCGAAGCTCAGCCCACCAATGACATCTGGGAGATTATGAGTATAAGATCATCACTAATGATCACACTGAAGTACACTTGTAATTTAGACACACACACACACACACACAGACACACACACACACACGCATTGATTATTATAATCAAGGAGTTAATCCATACTGTCAATATGTCAATATTCTGTTATGATACTATATTGCTAATGGACTTATTACTTTTTACTTCAAAAGAGTTAAGGTCTTTGCAGAGTTTTAATGCTTCCTTGGGAGCATTCACTTAACTTTTTTGACCTAGAGCTAGTTAAACCCTTAAAACTCCCAAGCATGTTCAAAGAAAAAAAATCAGCAATTTTAAAATATCTAAATCACAAACACCACTTGATAAAGAACCGTTTAGAAACCCCATCCATTTCATCTATAGAAATCTGTAAAAGAAAGCATTCCTTTTTATTTTAACAAGAAAAACCTACAGTATAAATCCAAAACTTTGCTGAACCCATTGCAACACTGAGGTACCTGGGTGACCTCAGTTCTAATGGACATGCCCTGCCAATGGGAGAGGAGGCACAGATGCTGTCTTCTGTACAGCCCTGGAGATGAAGACCCTGAGAAAACAGGGTGACTTTACCTATACAAATACCCAATGCTGGGCCCAAGTCTCTGTTGGCTCAGAGACCAAGACCAGAGGTCTGTCCTTTGTACCAGAGGCTCACTATGTATCAATTTGGAAAAGAGCTGAGGAGAAGTATCTCCTGGCTCCCTGGATCCTCACTCTTAGAAACTCAAGTGCTCAGAGATGTTATATGCCCCCGTTTCCTAAGTTATATACACACAGATGTTCTGGGTCATGAATGTTACCATGTACTCTTGAAATGGCCTGTGCCATGCCTTCAGAGGCTAGTTGTTTGGGTTTGCTAATCATGCAGTGTTCCTTTGGATTGAGGCCTAGCCTTCATTCACACAAGGAGTAGGAAGTTTTCTCTGTATGCTGGTATATAACAGATCCCATGGTTCAGGTTTCATATCAACAGGCTTCTTGGTCCTCCTCACCTTAGACTTGGGGTTGTGTGTACAGTGAATACTATTGAAATGGGGATACCTGTGTGATGACAGTTGGGGCTCCTGGCCCCAGGGTCTCAGTTAAGAGACCTGGTGAAACACTTGCTGTGTCTGTGTACTCCTGGTTGTCACTGTGGTTTTCTGTTCTGTGTTTCCTACTTTAAAAATTACAGCACTGACTGAGGACATTCAGACACTCAAGTAGATTCTGCATGGCATATGCTCCAAGAGTACTTTCTTCTCGTAATTTTATAGGTACACATTTTACTAGGACCATAAATTTAGAGACTTTTATGGAGATTTGGAAATATAGATTTTATAGTACATGCCTAAATATCTCAATGTATCAAAATATTAGAGATTGTTGGTAACTTAAGTCCACAATGTTTAGAGGGATAAGGCTAATTCTGTAAATACTTTGTAATATCTGTTTTCAAACAGGAATGAAAAATCAGAGCAGATGACGGAATTTCTTTTAACAGACACATGTCACAAGCTAGAAAACCAGCACCAGCCACAAAGACAACAACCTGGAATAGTCCAAGTCCAAATGTAGCACCCTGTTTGGTCAAATAAAAAGTGAGCACTAATTAACTGTGGTCTTGGATTCTCACGTAGGGCCTTGGGTTCCTGAAGAGGTTTTATTTCAATGGGAGACGGAAGGAAATTGGTCTCTTTTATAGAGACTCATACTGACTAAGAATATCCTGGGATGGAGACAATTATGGTAATAGAGCTACAGTACATGTGCAAAGTAGATAATTATCCCCAATAATCACAGACTAATTATGCTACCAACATCTCCTTCCCCAAAAGGAGAAGGGAAAGCCAGAAACTGTAAGAACTTCTCAAGGGCTAAGAACAATGATCAGTTCCAACAGAGCAAAAATATTAATGAACTGGTTAGCACAGTTTTGAGTGAAGGTTTCATTTGCTGTTCGCAGAACCTTCATAGGATGTATCAAAGTAGCAGAATTTTCTGGAAATATTCTACATAAATAATGTTTGCGGGATCGTTTGATACTGTCACCAGAGTAGTCCTATTCACATAAACTGGGACACACTTGCATGTAAATGCCTGTAATAAGTAGGAAGGCTGAAGCAGAGTGTGAACAGGGTCTGTGGTTGGTGGCTGCTGATGAATATTTATCATCAGCTGGAACGTGGCCTTTTGAAAACACATGCATTACACTCCAGAAAACTGTTTATCTCAATTTTAAAAATCACTTATTGAATCTAACCCACGTATTTGCTCACTTGCAACTGCTTATTAGAGGAGATAATGCCGACATCAAGCCATTTCAGAGCCTGGAAACACGTCCCAAATAAACCCTACTTTCCCTGGAAACTCATACTTCAATTTACAAGGTTTACCCGGATTACACAACACTGCAGCTCGGGCTGTGAATTTGACCTTTGTTTTCTCGTTCATCAGACTATTAACGCAGCCTCACATCCATTTTTATAAAGATTGACCTCTCATCTGTGACGTCTCTTTGCAATTAAAATAAATAACACACAAACACAGGCTCTGAAATGCCAGCTCTCAGCTAGGTCTTCTTTGAACACCTTTGAGAATCCAAAAGGAAAACCTCATTACCTCATGAGATAATCTAGTGATATGACCATCCTCTGTTTGGGGATGCTAATGTTAGTATCTATTGTCACACAAGACTTCAGTCATGTTACACATGGCTGGCCTGTGTTTCCTAATGCAAGTGGCCTAAAAACACAGTCAGTTCATTTAATTATTCCAGATACTAACTCCTGGATTTCTCCAGCAGTCTGTTGTATAGAGAAAATACCTTTCATGTAGCCTATGTTTAGTAAAACTCAATTTTGTGCAAGTCTTAGATGGAGCTTTAGAGGAGCACTGTGTCACCATTTAATGCAAGCTGGGTTTGTTCCCTTTAGAGAGGATGTTCCTATTCTCAAACAGAAGCAGAAGTCGATCTTACTTTTATACTCCAGGTGAAAGCCAGCGGCAGCAACGCTGATGTCAGACTGGAAGTGCAGGCAGAGCTGGTTGGAGGTGCTATTCAGCAGTGCGGGAACTGTGGTACCTAAACAGGGAAGAGTTACAGCTTTAACATAAAACAGGCAGACACTACATGTGTCCAGTACAGAAGACCATATCCTAGGCTTCTGAGTACACAGAGCTTGTCTGATCATCTCTGTTTAATTTGTAGAAGCTGTGGCAGCTTGTCCAGCTGTCCCATTTTGCAAGATAGCTTAGAGGGTCCTTAGAGCTGTTGCCATTTCCTCCAGACTGCTCCCAGTCCCCTGACCTGCACTCTGGTCTAGATTAATGACAGGGATCACTCCATCTCTCTGTGCATTTATTTTGCATACCCTCAGGCTAGATAAATCTCACATGTTATGTGGTTTAGTCAAGTCAAAATCAACTTCAGAGAACATAAGCACTGAGTTCTGTAGCCCTGGGAAGAATTCCTGTTCTTCCTGGAGTTGCCCTAAGGTAGGGAAGAGTCTTAAGCTGTGGAGCTCTTGCCTCTCAGCCCCAAGTATTCCTCCCCATGCTCCTTAGTTCCATGCAGCCCAGTAATTCTAAACAACTCATACATACACTCCTTATAGATGCCACTCTCAACTTCTCATCCTGAATTTAGCCTGTACTGGTGCACTAAGGCGCCCTTCTGATTCTGTTATCATCTACTCTAGTTTTATTTCTTGCACAAGTCATGTCAGAAAGCTCCCTGCACTTCTTGCTGATCTGCCCTCATCCCTTTCCACATCGAGACCCAGCCCAGCATCACTGTTTTTACAAGCTGAGGGTTTGGAAGACAAAGGCTAACAAGAGATTTATACAAGGTAAGGACACATGCTGGTCCTGGTCTTGGCTGTCCCATGTGATAAGGCTAGGAATGACATCAATGGATGACGTAGTTGGTATGTTTGGAAATATTTAAGTATAGAATGACCATTTTGCTGATCTTAGGCTGCCTTCTATAGTCTTTCATTAGATTTCCAGAAACTCACCAAAAATTTGAACATGTATTTTATCTAATAATGTTGGTTCATTGCCCAACCAGGACCATTATTTAAAATATTCTAGAAGGTAAACAGAAAAAAAAGAGGTAAGACAAGGGAACCCCATTGTGTGTGTTTGTGTGTATGTGTGTGTGTGTGTATGTATGTGTGTGTATGTATGTATGTGTGTGTATATATGTATGTATGTATGTGTGTGTATGTATGTATATGTGTGTGTTTGTGTGTATGTGTGTGTGTGTGTATGTATGTGTGTGTATGTATGTATGTGTGTGTATGTATGTATGTGTGTGTATGTATGTATATGTGTGTGTTTGTGTGTGTGTGTGAAGGCTTTAGGAAGTTACCTTGTCGATTTGAGAGCTGTTCCTCAATCATTTTTTCCCCTAGATGCTACAGGCAGTAGAACTCAGCAGGGGAGCCTTCTTTACAATAAAGTACCAGTACAGAATCCACAAAAGACCACTAAATATGTATGTGAAAAATTCTCATACAGAATGCTTGCAGATTCAACCCTTTGGTGGTTGACTCTGAGTTTAAAGAGTTTAGAGAAAAAGGGAGATGGATAGACATACAGATGACAAAGTTAAACAGGTGGATAGATAACAATAATAATAAAAAAATGACAAAAAAAATAAAGAATTTTTTAACACTGAGTGGCACTGGGGGAACTGTCTGTAGATAAGTCCTCTTTTGGTAACCCCTTTGCTGGTCCAGCCTCAGCAATGGAAAGTGTTGGTTATAAGGGCACCTCAAGAGCTCCAGAAAGAGACAGAGATGGTGGAGGGTAAGAAAGAGACAGAGATGGTAAAGAGTCATGGAGGAGAAGGATGCTCATTGCCTTGCTTATTGTTCAATCTCAGACTGTTTCTAAAATACACACACACACACACGCACGCACACACACTACATTGACTTGAAGCATGTTGTAGCGTTAACACAATGTTTCTCATGGTTGATCTTGCATACTTGACATGGGGCTGGTACACAAAAAGAAATGACCTTAACTAGATGTAATAACTTCCACACATTTTCATCCCATGGACCAGACTACATAGTTTGTGTTGATCTGACACTGGGGGAACCTCACAGTGTCTGTTTTTCCACTTTTTGTTCTGATTAAGTAACTACCGATCCTACAGCAAAACACTCATCCTCGCTCTCTCTGTTCTAGTTGCGTTTCTGTTACTGTGCTGAAATACCCTGCCAAAAAGCATGGCAGGCCAGGAATAGTTTATCAGACTTGTGTTTCCCATTATAGTCCATCATTTTGGCGAATTTAACATAAGAATTCAATATATCATCTCCATAGTCACGGCAGGAGAGAAAAAAACAAACAATCCACCACCCCCAAAATAAAAATAAAATAAAAATCCACAAGGATTCTTTCCTTGGTTCTGTTTCCTCTACTCTGTATAGACTTTCTCTATTATATAGGAAAGGGCCTGGCTTGAGAAATAGTGCCCATCTCAATTAACAAACTAAGATAATGTCCAACAGATATGCCCATAGGCCATCCTGACCCAGACAGTTCATTAAGACTTTTTCAGGTGACTCTGGGTTGCATCCAGTTGGCAGTTAAAACTAATCAGCACAGCACCACAGGTCTCCTACCAACAAGGGAGAATCCATAACTTATTACCTGCTACTGAAACCACACCATGCTACCGGTGTTGGCAGTAACACACATTCTTTTGTTTTCAAATTCAAATGTAGGAATTTATTTTGGACAGCCTGGTTGTCCTGCCATCCACTCTATGGAAGTTATCTGAGAGCTCCCAGCTCCCAGCTTAGCAATGTACACATAAGCATAGTTTGTTTTCAACTGTACAGTAGACTCAGAAATGCACTTCTACTCCAGGTACCAGGACGAGTTAACTTCATCATTTCATGTTGTCTTCATAAACTCGAAGGCATTCTGATTCCACAAAATGAAGAACAGGGTAAGACTTTACTTCAGATGAGCTAACGGTTTATGAATATGACATTGCTTTGTGGATTCACTTCTTTTTTTCAGATGAAAGATTATACCTTTTGCCATGCCAATCATGAAATCTATCAGCTGTTTATCATATGCTTTTGGAGGTTTAGAGACGATGGATCTATCATTACCTGATCACCTCAGAATAGAGTCTGCCATGCATTTTCCATATTCTGGAGCTGACTTTGGGTTTTCTCAGTGTAGTCTAATGGCAGGGGCTTATTCCCTCTATGCAAAGTATAACTGAGTGATTTTTTAAAAAATATTGCCGCAGGCAGAATATTTCTGATCACATTGTTTTACGGTGACCCAGATAGGATGACACATAACAAAGGAAGCTGCAAAATTTTATTATTGTCCCTGCAGAGTCTACTCTTGGTATACCGATATTTGCTTTCCTTTAATTCTGACTGTCAGATACAAGTCTGCATGAATTCTGCTCGATTTTACTCATTTATAATTTATAACCTGCCTGCTTCTAAGAGTGATTTTTTTCAATGGCTTACTAAAAAAGATCTACATACTTATTCCTACCCAAGCAAAAATGAAAAACCAAAGCACTGAATTTATTAAAGATGTCAATCATTTTGTTTTGAAATATGCATTTCTTATGACACCTAGTTCTTATTTATTTCTATTCACCAATTAAAATATTTTAGAATCTGCTTTATAAATACTTTTAAGTATCACAGGAACAAAAATCCTTAAGTATTGATGGCACTCTTTAAAAACAACCCAAACTGTGGTCTGCTATAGCATTTTTCTTCACATGAATTACATTTTTTTATCAAGAATTTCATGGGTATCTACAATGACATAGGATCGTATCCAATTTAAATATTATTCTTCTAAAAGAACTGAAGTGATTACTAGCAGAATGGAAATCTTCTGCTGTAGTATTAAAAAAAAAAGGCCTAATGTATCAATTATCATTCTAGACATAAGACATAGTTCTCTCTGTGTCCATGATGCATATATGTATAGATATCATAGCAGTCCCAGTGTGTATGATCCCTGAATACACTGCAGACCTACTGACTAATCCAAAAAGGGTTCTCCAAGTCAGGCTAACATGGATGCCACGGCCTAATCTGAGATGCAGATTTCATCTCAATCTCAACCCTATGCTAATATGGGATCTGAGCAAAGCTCAGAAGCCATTATCACTGAGAGCTTTGTGGCTGCACCCCCAAGTTCTTTATCCTTGTTCTTGGTCTCCTTTTGTCTTGAAATTTTAGAAATAGAAAATAGAAAACAATCCAGGTTCTGCGAAATACCTTTGGACTTTCATTCAACTACTCACTATTCAGGCTATGGATTGGGGGCAAGCATAGTCATGTGGTGCTGTGGTCTTCCTGGGACAACTTAGCTGTTGGCTGTCCTCTGTGGTAGGCAGGCACTGGTGGCACGAGCCCTGTGAAAGCTGGTGGCAGTGTTTTGGCTGGATGTGGTCATCAGCATGGAAAGAATACATAAGTAATAGCACTGGCTATGTGATAGTTTTGAAGATTTGATTTGATTTTCTGAGAGCAAGATCTCAATGATGTGTTCACATCTCCAACCCAGTTACGGCTCTAGCACTCTGAAGGGAGGTCTGGCATGAGCTCCGCTCTGCTGCTCTGCTACTTTGTAGTGAGTTTATGTTTGTGGAGAGACATGGAGACGAGTGCCCCAGTCTCATTTACCCACACTGCGTCTACCAGTTCAGCATATGACACACCAGTCACAATCTGTTATTGTTATTATTATGATATGATGATGATGATGATGATGATGATGATGATGATGGTGATGGTGAGGTGATGATGATGGTGACTGTAATAGTGATGCCAAGAACACCCTTTGCATTCATCACCCTCCTCCCCATATCCATCAGGATCTATGATTTAGGGAATTCATTTAATTAGAACTGTGAAATTCAGATATTAATTTCACACTCATTGTATTCAAAATGGTTAATTACATGTTGTATATGTATATATTACACATAATACATGCATTGTATTATGTATACATTACATACTTTCTATGTAACATATGCATCCTATATATAAACCTACCATCCTAGCCATGGAGTCAGAAATCCTCCTAGAAATGCCCTTCCTCTAAGGCAGTGGTTCTCAATCTTCCCAATGCTATGACCCTTTAGTATACTTCCTCATGTTGTGGTGATCCCCAAACATAAAATTATTTTCATTGCTACTTCATAATTGCAATTTTGCTATTGTTATATATTTTAATGTAAATATCTGATATGTGACTCCTGTGAAAGGGTCCCTTGACCTCCCAGCAGAGTCACAACCCACCAGATGCCTCTAGACTTCTAACTTTCAGCGATGTAGCTATGTTCTCAAAGGTACAGAAGATGCATCCTCAATTGATTTATGAACTCAGTTCTTAACCTGGAGACCTTACTGAGTATCTTTTAGACCCCAACCTCACAACTGCCACCATACTCAATGGCCTCTTTAACTGGGCCTTAATGGTGTCAAATCCCCATCCTTCACCCAAAAAAATCCTTAACAAACCAATTGAACAAACAAAACAAAATAATAACAAACCACCCTGAAAACATGCAGAAGAGAAACTAACCAAGTATGAAATTTAAAAATTCATTGTACCCTTGGGAAAAGAAAAGAACTCAGACATGGAGATTCTGCTGTCTTCAGAAACCCTCTATATTCCTAGCACCACAGAAGCACTGCCAGAGTAAAAGCCCTGTCATTTAGGTTTGGACACAGACTATAGAGCCCTTGTGAAGACATCAGACTTTTGATTGCCTATGTATGCTGAAAGAGATAAAGAAAAGACAGAGGGGAAATTGTAAATATGAACTCAAGGTGATCTAACCAGAATGTGTCAAGAGTAAAAATAGGGTAGACCTGAGATATCTTACCTCAATCAGAAGACGAGAGGAAAGACAGACAGACCCTGTCTAGTTTATTCTAGAACTATGGAATGAGAAGAGTTAGTGCCTCAGTTTTATTGACCTGACATACGAAGGGTCATTCTGCTCATCAGATACCCAGTCCTGCCAAAGCAAGAGTCTGACCCATCCATTACAAGGGCTTCCATTCCCTTTGGGAGCTAGTGGGTAAAGCAATCGTCTGAGGTTCAAAACTCAGCTGCATGAGAGTGACACTGGGTGCAACTCCTCCCTTGTGCACACAGCACACAATTGTTCACATGAGGGTGCACACATCCAGAACTTTCTTGATTATTGCTTGTTTAATTGCTATTCATTCTAATGGACACTTGATATTTACATAGTTATGGGGCTAAGATATCCCGGGTTGTTGGACATACATTGGCCCATGCACCCAGGATGTATAGGTGGCAATGAATCTCTGCTGCTATGAGGCTGCTGTGCAGATGGTTATAGTTTGCAAATGCCTTAGAAAACATCCACTCACACTTGTGGCAAGCATCTCCAGGATGTCCTAAAATACAGCCCTTCCTGTAAGTCAACTCTACATAATATTCTGTCCATAGTAGCCCCCATAGTGATAGGATTTAGTGGGAAAAAATCTGCAATACAATATAAAGGCATTGTATTTAAGTGAACATGGAAGATTTTTTATTAATCTGACTTCCTTAATTGCTTAGAAAACTTATTACATAAAGCAAGCTTAGTTTCTTTCACAAGGGTCTGGTCACACTATTTTAATGAGATTTGCATCTTCTAGAATACATTTTTTAATTTGATAGTGTTTGAGACTTGTTTACTAATAGTTTAACTTAGTGTGCATACATGTCTGTTATCTTTGCCTTGTTTTATCACTTCCCACTGTGTTTTCGAGTCAGTCTGTCACTGAACCTGGAGCTTACTGATTCAGACCCACTGGCTACCAATGAACTCTGGATACCTGTAACATCTTCCCAGAACTGAGATTATAGACAGGATTGTAGGCAGAAACCACAGTTGCTTCTCATGTGGGTTCTAGACTAGAGATTGAGCCCGAGTTCCTATGCTTAGGTGGTAAGCACTTTGCTAACGGGGCCATTTCCCAACCCAATATTTACTTTTGTTTAATATTCATTGTTGAAAATGTTTGCAAATTTTCATTTTCTAATTAATTCAATAGCAACAAGATACATCTCGCTGCAATGAACTACAAATGGCCCAGTTATTTTTACAAGAGGGATTTCCTGATGCAAACCTAGAAACTCGCTCTGTTAAAAATCCCTATTTACATTTTAGAAAAGAATGTAAGCTGAATCTCAGAGAGGACCTCAGGGGTGCTTCATGTTTACATAACTGCTTCATCCCCTTGTCTCAAAGCAAAGGCTTCAGCTCCTGTAATCTACATCAAGTCTCTTGTTTAAAAAGAGAAACTTTACAAGACACACACTGGTGCGCTTTCTCAGTATTTTATTGTCTCAGTGTTTTTCATTCCTTGTATATCTGACAACTTTGAAATAAAGAAGTCATAGGTTAATTCAGGTCAGAGGGTTGGTAGACAGTGGTGCCACAAATCCAGGCTACCTCCAAGCCCTGGGCTTCTTCCAGTTTACAGGAATATTCTGGTCATTCATAGGAAAGTCTATAGACTTTTGAGTTTGGGATAATCACAGTTAGGATTATTCCATGGCAACTCTGGATGACCACATTGGGATCATCAGACATGTGGCTAAGTGTCAGGGCTTAACCCATGAGGTAAAAGCCCCATATCTAGTGGTCTGAGATGAAAGGGGTAAAAGATTAGGTTCTGATCTGTGGCTAATAATACAGCCAAGCATGAGTATGCAATAAACGCATTCTGAAAATCTGGACTCCACAGCTCAGATAAGCATCATAACTGGTAACACACACCAGTGTGTGTAGCAGATGACACACTTTGAGAAATAAAATCCCAAGGTCTGAGATTCCCCTCACACTCAGAGTGTCTCCACTGGGCTGGTCCTCTTTCCTGCTTTATTCAAAATTACGCATGTGTATTTTCTGAGCACTGAGAACTACTTCAGAGGCCCAACAGCATGGGAGTACTTAATTTACAGCTCACTTTCCATATCATAGGTGGTCTACGACTCTTAGCTTCTTGCTGGTGTCTGATGGGGTCTGTGGAGAATCAGCTCTGCCTCCAACCTGGGAAGTCTCTCCGACTCCAGGCAGTGAGCATCAGAACTGCACTGCTGTGGTAATTATAACAAACAATCATTTAAATTAAATTTCATGTTTCCTTTATGTAGATGGGTGTTTTCTGTGTGTACCATGTGCATGCCTGGTGCCTGTGGATGCCAGAAGAGAGCGCTGGAGTTGGAGTTAAGGATTTTTGAGAGTTGTGTGTTAAGATTCAAACCTGCTGATCCACCTGTTATATACTAGGTGAAGATATCTATCTATCTATCTATCTATCTATCTATCTATCTATCTATCTAT